CTTCTGTCTCTTCGGTTCGCCGTCCTCTTCAATTTCTCATCCACCTCTTCCTCCTCCTCCTTCTCCTCCTTCTCCTCCCTCTGCTCCTTCTCCTCCTTCTCGTCCTCCTCGTCCTCGCCCTACTCCATATCCTCCTCATTATCATCCTCCTCCTCCTCCTCGTCCCCTTCCTCCTCCTCCTCTTCCTCCGACGACGATTCCTCTTCCATCCTCCCCCTCTCGGGGTATGTGACAGTTCCCCGCCCTTTGTTATTCTGCATGCTCCCCGACTTCCCTGATCACCTCAACTCCCCTGGGCATGGTTTCCGGATGGGCTGGTGGGGATACGCGAAGCGTCAACAATTTCAAGATGACGATTCATACAGGAAGATGTTGGCTGGCAAATTGATGCGCGCAAGAGGTGTGCTCATCTATAACAAGGCCGACTGGGCTGAATTATCAACGACGTTTGGGTGGCCCTCATGGGGCGACAGTTTGAGGCCGTGCTTCCAATGCAATGGGTTTGGCGACAACTTGTATCTCGATGTTGGCTGGAGTTTAACTGGGTCTCCTTTCAGAGAGAACGTTGTCGGTGATTACGATTGGGCCTGTCAGATGTGCGAGCATGTTGTTGTTCTGTCGCATGACACACACAAGGCCCTGTGCGACGTGTTGTTCTACGACAAAAGATCTGGAAGCAGTTCGTCAAAGGGTCTAGCCCTTAAGGTTGCTTTGCCCGCCCTCGGTCTCCAGCAGGGGGACAGGGTGGAGCCAACAAAGTGGATGCCAGATGTGTCAGCAATATTCAGAATCACGCAGTTTCCATGCCCAATTCTTATTTGGAGACCGTCTGCTGAAACAATTGCTCGGCATAGAAACCCAATATATGATATCGAATTTGGCGTCGACCCGTGCACGCATACTTGCATCGATTCGCTTCACGCGCTATACCTCGGCTGCATGAAGGATCTGTGTAGGGAGCTCGCGTGGGCAACGATTGACGCTGGCCTGTGGGGCACGGCAGGGACAGTGGAGCACAATCTCGAGGTCGCTGCCATTGCTATGAAGCACGAACTTCATGGGTTCTACACCGAATGGAAAGAAACAGGTTTGAATTCGACTCTGACGGAAATCCACGCCATGAGTGCCAAGTTGTTTGGCACAAATTCAGACAGGAAGTTGAGGACGAAAGGCGCTGAAACATGGGGCTTCCTGTTATTTCTAGTCCACATGTTCAACCGTCGTTGGAAGATTCAAGGCCGCTTGCAGCGCGAATCGGTTCGACTTTTCGAGGCCGCGGAATGCATGATCAAACTGTGCTACCGCATGGATAATATCGGCTGGAAATTCTGTGACTCCGACATAGATGAGTGCTTGGAACACTGGAAACGGTTTTGTTCTCTCACCCGTCATTGTGAGCGATTGCTTACGCCAAAGCGCCACATCCTGTGGCACATGCTTCAGCGGGCTGCGTTCTTGGGGAACCCACGGTTCTACGCAAATTGGACAGACGAGGGGCTCAATAGAGTTTTGAAAGGTGCATGTCGCGAGCAGTCCCAGGTGACGTTCGAGGAGTGCGTGTTACTGTCGATGCCTTTCCTTGTGTAAAAAGTAACCCCACAAACATCACGCAAAACACGCATAACAACAATTTGCTATTTGCGTGGGAAGAGGTGTCGGACAAATTAGCACACATGTAAACAGATCCCCACCGTCTCTTCCTCCCCCATCAGCCTCCTCCCCCTTCCGAGTAACCGTGCAAATCAGCAAAGTCGAGATCCGAGGAAATAGGAAACCAGCAAAGTCGAGATCCGAGGAACAGGAAAACCAGCAGAGTCGAGATCGAGGAACCAGGGGAACCAGCAAAGTCGAGATCCGAGGAACCAGGAAAACCAGCGACGTCGAGATCCGATGAAGCAAGACAACCAGTGAAAACGAAATCAGAGAAACCAGGGCAATCGATCGAGCCGAAATCCGAGAAAGGACCAAGAGGGGCCGAAGGAGCAGGAGGAGCAGCATAAGCAGGAGGAGCAGGTGGAGGAGGGGCTGGGCGAACAGGGGGAACAGGCGGAGGAGGAGGAGGACGGGGAGGAGGAGGATGGGGGAAGAGGAGGGGGGGAGGGGGGAGGGGGGCGGGGAAGGATGAGGAGGGGGAGGCGGAGGAGAAGGAAGAGGGGGAGGAGGGAGGGGTGGCCAGGGGGAGGAGGAGCAGGAGGAGGATGAGGAGGAAAGGGAAGCGGATGAGGGGAGGAGGGGGAGGAGGAGAGGGGCTTTGAGGATGAGAAACAACAATGGAACATGTTGCGGATAAAAGGAGGGAGAAGAGGAAGAGGAGCGGGCGAGCGGCGAGCGCGCGGCCGCCCGCTTGGACGTCAAGGTCAAGGCGCCACCCGCGGCCGCGGGGCAGGGGGAGGAGGAGGAGCGGGGGGGGCATTCCTCCCCCTCCCCCTCCTCCTCCTTCCTCCTCCTCCTCCTCCTCCTCCTCCTCCGCCGCCGCTGCCTCCTCTTCCTTATCCTCTTCCTCCGTCGCCATTTTGGCTCAAACCATTTGTTGGGTAACGCCTGGGGCGAGTGCTCAACGGCACTGAGCGCGGAAAACCCGAACGATACACTCATAAAGCGTCTGCGCGCTCCAACAGCCACAACTTCAACGTACATCTTGGAACCCATAACTGTACGTAAAATATCACGTACAAAAACTGTCCGTAACGGACAGTTTTTTGTACGTGATGGACCACAGGGCCTCTGGGCATCCCCCCCGGGGCCCGTTTTGTGAGGATGTCTCAGGCGAGGGCGCCGGTTTGGGATTCGTCACCGGATCCAGCGGATCCAGCGGATCCGTCCGGAAACAATGCCGGAGGCCGCTCTGGGCTCCTCTGGGCCAGTGGGCATCCCCCCCGGGGCCCGTTTTGTGAGGATGTCTCAGGCGAGGGCGCCGGTTTGGGATTCGTCACCGGATCCAGCGGATCCAGCGGATCCGTCCGGAAACGGTGCCGGAGGCCGCTCTGGGCTCCTCTGGGCATCCCCCCCGGGGCCCGTTTTGTGAGGATGTCTCAGGCGAGGGCGCCGGTTTGGGATTCGTCACCGGATCCAGCGGATCCAGCGGATCCGTCCGGAAACGGTGCCGGAGGCCGCTCTGGGCTCCTCTGGGCATCCCCCCCGGGGCCCGTTTTGTGAGGATGTCTCAGGCGAGGGCGCCGGTTTGGGATTCGTCATCCCGGATCCAGCGGATCCAGCGGATCCGTCCGGAAACGGTGCCGGAGGCCGCTCTGGGCTCCTCTGGGCATCCCCCCCGGGGCCCGTTTTGTGAGGATGTCTCAGGCGAGGGCGCCGGTTTGGGATTCGTCACCGGATCCAGCGGATCCAGCGGATCCGTCCGGAAACGGTGCCGGAGGCCGCTCTGGGCTCCTCTGGGCATCCCCCCCGGGGCCCGTTTTGTGAGGATGTCTCAGGCGAGGGCGCCGGTTTGGGATTCGTCACCGGATCCAGCGGATCCAGCGGATCCGTCCGGAAACGGTGCCGGAGGCCGCTGTGGGCTCGTGCTCTTCGCGCCGGGGGTGAGGATGACGTGAGTTCCACAGAAACTCCCTCAAATAAACACGAGCATGGACATGCGAGAACTAATTAAGATTTGGGAAACAAGCAATGGCATTAGGGGGGTCCGGCGCCGATCCGAGAAATCCGCGCGGACCTCCGAGTTTTTATGTTCCCTACCTAGGCTCTGCCTAGAAGGGTTCTTACTCTGTTAACTAAAGGGGCCGGGCAATGCTAATCGCCCCGGGCGGTTCCCCCAGTCCCCGCCCCGCGGTTCCCCCAGTCCCCTGGGAGCTTTAGCCTTCGCTTTAGCCTTAGCTTAGCTTCAGCTTTAGCTTTAGCTTTAGCTTAGCTTTAGCTTAGTGTTGACTTAGCTTTAGCTTAGTTTTAGCTTAGCTTTAGCTTAGTGTTAGCTTAGTGTTAGCTTAGCTTTAGCTTAGCTTTAGCTTAGCTTCAGCTTAGTGTTAGCTTAGCTTTAGCTTAATGTTAGCTTAGCTTTAGCCTAGCTTTAGCTTAGCTGTAGCTCAGCTTTAGCTTAGCTTTAGCTTAGCTTCAGCTTAGCTTTAGCTTAGCTTTCGCTTAGCTTCAGCTTAGCTTTAGCCTAGCTTTAGCTTAGCTTTAGCTTAGCTTTAGCTTAGCTTTAGCTTAGCTTCAGCTTAGCTTTAGCTTAGCTTTAGCTTAGCTTTAGCTTAGCTTTAGCTTAGCTTAGCTTAGCTTCAGCTTAGCTTCAGCTTTAGCTTTAGCTTAGCTTTAGCTTAGCTTTAGCTTAGCTTTAGCTTAGATTTAGCTTAGCTTCAGCTTAGCTTTAGCTTAGCTTTAGCTTAGTGTTAGCTTAGCCTTAGCTTAGCTTCAGCTTAGCTTTGTCTTAGCTTTAGCTTAGCTTCAGCTTAGTGTTAACTTAGCTTTAGCTTAGCTTTAGCTTATCGATCAGCTTAGCTTCAGCTTAGTGTTAACTTAGCTTTAGCTTAGATTTAGCTTAGCTTTAGCTTTAGCTTTTGCTTAGCGTTAGCTTAACTTTAGCCTAGCTTTAGCTTAGCTTTAGCTTAGCTTTAGCTTTATCTTAGCTTCAGCTTAGCTTTAGCTTAGCTTCAGCTTAGCTTTAGCTTAGCCTTAGCTTAGCTTTAGCTTAGCTTTCGCTTAGCTTCAGCTTAGCTTTAGCCTAGTTTTAGCTTAGCTTTAGCTTAGATTTAGCTTAGCTTTAGCTCAGCTTTAGCTTGAGCTTTAGCTTAGCTTTAGCTTAGCTTCAGCTTAGCTTCAGCTTAGCTTGAACTTTGTGTTAGCTTAGCCTTAGCTTAGCCTTAGCTTAGCTTTAGCTCAGCTTCAGCTTAGCTTCAGCTTAGCTTTAGCTTAGCTTTAGCTTAGCTTTAGCTTAGCTTTACTGTTACTACTAATGCTGCTTTCCTAGGGGTTCCAACTCCTAGGTAGGGTCGCACTGGGATAATTTGTGTCATTCTTCGTTCCCCTAAAGATGGTCACAGAAACGTGCATCATTCACCTTTCAGCCCCCCCCCTCTCTCGCCCCCCCCCCCCCCCTTGCGCAACGCCTGAGCTCCCTCGATGCCCCCCCTCCCCCCACCGGCCCCTGCTCCCGCCCTGCCCCCATCCCTTTCCCTTCTCCTCCCTCCCTCCGCTCTCCGAACCTGCCAGGGGTACTTGATGTTGTCGTAGGCCGCCTCGACCACGAAGTTCTGCAGGAGCCCGAGATCGGTCTTCATCGGCAGGTGCCCGCGCTTGAGCGCGTCCAGCGCCTTCTCCTTGTTCGCCTTCACGTGCATGTACGCCCTGAAACAGGCAGCATAGAAGATAGTGTCCAAGAGATGGAAATTCGTCTTCACCGACTTATCCTAGAGGAACAACAATGGCATAAACATAAACTTTTGGAGGTCCGCGAGGATTTCTTGGATCTGCGCCCGACCCCCCACCCTGGCGCGCAGAGCGCGCCAGCCAGGGGCGGCGTCAGAGGCGCCGCAAGGGGGTCCCAACGCGGATGCGAGAAAACCGCGCGGAGCTCCGAAAGTTCTGTTTATGCTAGTTTTTCTTCTTCGATCTCCTCGAGCAGCTTGTCCAGCCACGCTGTGTCGATGGTGTTTTCGCGGAACTCCTTCGTCTCTGCCAGCTCTACCAGGTACTCGGTGGCGGTGCGGATCTCGCCCTTCACAGCCACGCCCTTCAGCGCGATCTGCAGCGCCTTGCGTGCGTCCTCACGAGTGGGTCCCTTAGCGAAGATATGGCCGAACTGTGAATCTGCGAACTCGTGGATGCCACCGTTTGCGCCAACCGAGAAATAGCCCCACGTGCTGGGCGCAGACTGGAATCTCACCCGCTCGATCTTCCCTGACGTCGGCCGGAATGCATCGTCGGGGTTCTCGGCGGTGACTCGGGCGGCCATGACATGGCAATCTGGGTACTGGTACTTGTCCTCCAAGAAGTCTATCTTCGTGCTGCCCGCGGGGTCCAGGCCATAGAAGCGACGTATGTCCGGGCAACGGTGCAGCGGGATGCCCATGCCGACCTGCAGCTGCAGCGCCGGCACATTGACGCCCGTGATACCCTCGGTGACCGGGTGCTCCACCTGCAGGCGCGGGTTCAGCTCCAGGAAATAAAAGCCGTTGTTCTCCGGCTTGTACAGGTACTCGACCGTGCCGGCGCCGCGGTAGCCCACGGACATGGCCAGGCGCTGGGCGGCCTTCTCCGCCACCTCACGGAAGTCGTCCTTCGGGGCAACGGTCGGGGGGCCCTCCTCGAAGATCTTCTGGAAGCGGCGCTGGGTGGAGCAGTCGCGCCCGATGAGCGCGACGACCTGCCCATGCTCGTCGCCGACGAGCTGGACCTCCAGGTGCCTCGCGCCAGTGCACAACTGCATCATGAAGACGGGCGAGCCGGGCACCTCGGCATTGACCTGCTCCCAGCCGAGCTTCAGCTCTTCGTCGTTCTTGCACTTTCGGATGCCCTTTCCACCGCCGCCCTCCGACGCCTTCAGCACAACAGGATAGCCGATACGCTTCACGTGCATCTGGGCCTCCTCGAGACTCTGCAGGCAAGCTTTCTTGAATGGCTCCTCGGGGATGCTGCCGTCACTTTGGATCTCCGCCGTGATTCCTTCTCCGTTCCACGGGATGCAGGGCACCCCGGAAGACTGGGCAAGGATGGTGGACGCAATCTTGTCGCCAAGCGCGTGCATCACTGGTGCAGTTGGGCCAAAGAACGCGATCCCCGCCTCTGCCAGAGCTCGGGGAAGCGCTGGATTCTCGCTCGCGTGTCCCCAACCGGGCCACACTGCGTCCACTTTCTGCGAGGTCGCGATCTCGACAATCAGGTCGACGTTCGCGTAGTTGAACGTGTTTTTGCCTGCGGGCACCTCGACGAACGAGTCGGCCAAGCGGATGAACTCCATGTTGGCGTCCAGGTCGTTCTGGCTTGCCATCGCGACAAAGTGCAGCACGCTCGCGTCGCCCAGCTCCAGGAACGCCCACTGGCGCATCGACATGATGGCCTTTGTCGCAGCCATCCCGTTGTTTGCTATGAGGATCCTCTTGACGCAACGAAGGCCACCGTGCGCCTGGACGTACTCCTCCATCGTAGGCATCTCCCCTGCACGCAGCTGCTGGACAGGCCTCCCCGTGCACTCAGAAGTTGACCGGGCGGTACTGCGAAGCGCTCCGAAAAATCAGGAGCCAGAATGGCTGCCAA